TCTAGGTTGAATCTAAACTGAGCGTATTTGTCATCTTTTGTTAAAAACTAGTTTTCCGTTTGCATATTTCCAAGTGCAGTGTATAGGGTGGAAGCCTCCTGGGACTCCTTGGAGAGTGAACATAAGGACAAAATGGTGACAAACTCTTGCTGTTGTCACCAGAATGGCCCTTGAACGTACCCTCTGGCCTAGCAGCCATGACTACTTGCATGAGCAGCAAGTATTGGGGCAAGAATTTGTCATGCAAAGCACTACATTGTGTTCACCCTGCAAGAAATCTCTTGTTTTTCCACTTGCTAACATCTTCTAACCCCTTCTTTTGGGGCAGATACAGCATTGAGCTAGATATGTTCAGCAGGTTCCACTCCACAGATTTTGCCCAAATACAATCAATTACATTGAGTCTGCCATGATCCCTTGGATTTTTATGACTTTGTTGTTGCTTCTTACTCTGATTTTCCTCCTGGAGCTGTTCCAGGCTGTAAAGGTGGTACAGACACAGGCAAAGTTCCCTCACTTCTGCGCACTGCCGACCTTCCTTCCACAGCCCATCCAAACCTGCAGTCATTCCTACCTTCCACCCCTTATGTGTGGGAACTTCAGAAAGTTCATGACAATATGGAATTAAAAGATTCATTTGAAGACAGAAAAATCTAGAGATCCATGTGTAGTTTTTTTCCTAATGCACATTTCCATGAACTTTTTGGAGAACTTCATGTGTTCTCATGCGTACAAGCTTCTCCTCATCATGGAAACCTAAAACCTATTTCTGATATAATTGGACTTAAGAGTTAAAGAGGCCACTTTTCTTAGAACAATTAGAATGACTGGATACATGGCCCTTTTTCACATTGATTCTGAGACTCCCTCACCTCCTAACACACCACTGCTTCAATAAACCATGGCATATCCACACCATGAAGACTTAGCTCAGCTTTCAGAAGGAGTTAGTATGCCAGGACTGAGGGCAGGAATGAGTTGAACAGCTGTGTATTATTTACGCAGCAGAGCATTGTAGATATACGTAATTGAAAAACCTGCTTTTTCTCCTTCTTTGTAATGTTGACTACTTGAAACAGGTTTAGACCACACAGGCAGCTCTCCACTGACAAATAGTTTAAGACCCAACAAAGTGACTTCATTTGTTGATTGGAGTTTTCCTACAAAATCACTGTCTTTTGAGATACTGGCCCCTAGCTAAGTCAACACAGTATGCCTGAAACATTGCACATTTCTGTTTTTAAAAATGCTATCAAAGGATGCTGCACATGAGTAAGCCAGAATATAAATAGATTTGAATAAGACAGAAGTCTGCTGAAAGTTGATCTTTTTAAAAGAAGATTTGCTTGGAGAAGAGTGACTAAGGTAACAGGATATTGAGGGACCTCCCAAAAAGAGGCCTGGGTATTCAGAGGTTATTGGCAAGGTGCTTCATTCCTTTTGATAAGCTTTCACTTTGGAGAAGGAAACTCAGTCTTCTGTATTATGTCTAATTTCACTTTAAACCATGTATTCCATTTTGGTTAAAACAAAACTATTATCTGTCTGCTTATATTTCTCTAGTGTGTCTAGAATCTGTGTTAATAATCACCAGTGAAACCAAAGTGAGAAGCAAGGGAGGGGTTGAGACTTCAGGAAGTAACACGTAAACAAGCAGTAGGTAAAGGCAGAGAGGAAGCACTGCGGGGGGGTGGGGGGTGGGGGAGGTGGGTCCTGAAAAGGCAGGAGTTTTGAGATGGGGAAAGGAGCAGAGTGTGGAAGGACCTGAGGCTGGGGTGCAGAGAGCTCTGCTCTGGCTGTTGGGTGTGTAATTGATGGGACACACCACAGTCCAGAGGTCCACAAAGTCCAGGGGCTTGACATGGGCAACAACCTTACTTTTCTAGAGTTGAACCTAAGATGACCCATTTTGACTAATAGCAGACAAACTTTTTCCAGATGTTTTTAAATGTTCTCGGCCCAATCCAGTGATTTTTTTTTCAATCAAATCCAAGTATTAATGTCTCTGTTTTGGTTTCCTTCTCAAATACCAACTAGGCATTATCTTTCCATTCTTTTTTTCCCTACCCTGTGGTCCCCTGTGCTCACTACATGAAAGAAGGGGGTTAGCTTTCATGATGGATTTTGGATGAAAGTGGGTCTGGTGTGTATGTGTGTTTTGGGGGAATTCAGGTGTGGGAGTGTCTTTAGGGCATGCCCCCTCTGGTCATCTATGCTTCCTGACAACAGTGATGTGGAAGACACTGTGTGTTGTTTACCCAGGCTACTGTCTTGTGTACCAATAAAACTGGGTTTTAATGAGACATACGTCCACTTTGAACCAAGCGCACTCTCAAAGCCAGCAGTGATGGGAGAGAAGTATAAGGACTTCAGATTGCATCTTTCTATCCCCATTCACTCCTGCTAGAACTCACACACAACAGTGAGCTACTGAGGAATGTGCCGATGAAGACAGGGCTTCTGAGATGAAAGTTTCCTGCTTAGCCTGGGGGGTGAGGGAAGGTCAGGGGAGGGAGACTGGATTGCTTAACCCAAGCTGTTGCAAGAAAAATAAGTCTAGATTTGCATAAGCCATTGTAAATTTGTATTTTAAAAATATGTATAGTAACTAAACTTTCATTCCAACAAGCCTGTGGTGGGAAGAGAGGAAGCTAATCCGTATTACTGGGCATTACATGTGCAAGGAACTTGATCATTAGGTACCCAGAAAGTGTTGCATGGTGGATGGAAGCAAACAGGCATGACGGTTCCAGAAGCAGCCCTACTGCCCATGTTAATGTTACAGAGGTAGCTAAGCCTGTGCCCGGCATGATGGCCTAGTGGCTAAATCCTCACCTTGCATGCCCCAGGATTTCATATTGGCTCTGTTTCATGTCCCAGCTACTCCATTTCCATCTAGCTCCTACTTCTGGCCTGGGAAAGCAGTGGAGGATGCCCAAGGCCTTGGAACCCTGCACCCATGTGGGAGACCTAGAAGAAGCTCCTGGTTCCTGGCTTTGGTTTGGCTCAGCTCCAGCTGTTGCATCTATTTGGGAAATAAACCAGCAGACAGAAGATCTCTGTCTCTCCTCCTTCTAAATCTGCTTTCCAATAAAAATAAATTTATATTTTTTAAAAAAGAGGTGGCTAAGCCCTTAAAAATCACATGAAAGATAAAAGATATCCATGTAATACCATGCCTGGAAATGTACCGGGTACAAAAAAAATTGCTTGTCAGTGTAATTTAATGAATAACTTAGTGTACTCTCAAATATTTAAAACTCCATTGCAGTACTGTTTGGCTGGCATTAAGATCTATTTGATGTTTTGCATACCATGTTTGTGGAATTGATTTTTAAGGAGGAAGGAATAATGTATTTAACGACTCCTTAAAAGAGAATACAGAACAGAGAATATTCTTCAGTTAGGGAGAGAAGACAGTGTACTTTGCAGGAGTACTTTGCAAGTTTATAATCACATTTTAAAGCAGAAAAACAAAATAAAACAAAACGTTAACTCCTGGCAATACAAAAAATAGACACGAAGGAGTCAACTGAAATTAAATGGCAAAATGTCACTGTGTAGGTGTGAGATGCACAGACACAGAGGACGGCACAATTTCAGCAAGCCCTGGGGCCTCTAAGAAATTATTTTTTTTTTTCTTCTGAGCACATTGAGACTTTGTGTGCATTAAACTGCACATTAAACTGGCCACCAAAGGTGAAAGGCATCCTTTGCCGGGAGTCAATGCAGTATTGAGTCAACTGACTCATTAAAGTCACCTAGGTGGTGACTGATAGGAGGGTTTTGGCCAATGGACTGGGAGGGCTGGGTATGGGCCCAACACTCTCACATTCAGTATGCGCCTGGAGGCGCTCCCTTGCTTTCAGCACCAAGAGCTCTGTCTGGAGAGGAGTGGGGAGGCTGTGCTGCCTGGGAGGCACAGGGATGCATATCAATCACTCAGTTTGGTGGGTAGCAACAACGCTACCCCTTTCTCTGGCTGTGCAGGCCTTTGCTGGGCTGCAAAGGAGAGCTCTTCATAGCTCAGATAGTAGTATTTGTTTCAGTAAGAACCAGCACTTGTGAAAGTGATTTGTTTTTACATTGCCGAGACATATTTGGACACAGTTATTGGGAACTTCCAGCCAGCTGTATTTTTCTAAGGGACTAACCAACAAGGGCATATGGAGCCTACACCGATGAGGAAAAGGACCTAGGGGGTCCCCCAAGCTGGAAACTTGTTTTTCATGGGTGATAGCTTATGAACTTGCTGTGATTCCAAACACTGGGGGCCCATAGGGACCTCTTCATGAACATGTCTCAGTACACATTTCCTCCCTTTCTGGCTGGTTGCTTAAATCAGTCCTTTAACGTGACCAACTTCAGATTTGCGAGACTACCCCCAATATTGGCAGTTCTATTAATTTATTTTTGTGGTTGTTTATTTGGTGTACCTTGGCCCATGTACTAGATGCCTGTAGGTTTTTAAAGTGTATCTTTGCATTGTCTAACTTCACCGACCTATGGCTGTTGGTCATAGACTAAGCAAAATCTTTTTACTCTATTGTTTCCAGGTCTGTCCCTTAGGATTAGGATGGGTCATCCCTCCAACTGCCTCCCTCTTGATGGTTTCTCACTTGTATATCGGCAAACCACTAGCCTTCCAGTGGACTCTCTGAAGTACCTTTATTTGTCTATTACTTTCAGGAATTTTCTTGCTCAGCCACCATGCTAATCTCTCGTTTTTTTTATGGTCCCATGAGTTCTTACCCTTTTACTCAGCATGCATGCCCTCCCTCAAGATTGAGCTTATGTACCCCACCCAGTCTCTTGTGAGTGTACCTGCCTGCCCACGTCTCTATGCAAGTGATTAATCAGCTTTAGCTCAATGTCACTGTGAGCGTATCAACTTTGCGTCTGTATTGTCTTTCTTTTCTGCTTATAAATTAATAGCAATTCCTGTTCGCAACCGAGTTTAGCACTGTCCCTTGCCTTGATTTTGTCCCTGTCCCACTCACCAGCTATCGAGGAGACGACTACAATGCTTCCGTTGCTCTGCTTCAGCATGGGCAGGGCAGCCACACTCAGGACCACGTAACTGAGAAAGTTGACCTCCATGATTTGGCGCACTTGGTAAATATCATTATTAAAAAATGTGAAAGGAGAGCTGGTGATGTGGTTGAGAATGAGCATGTCTAGTCCTCCTGCAAGAGATGGCTGGGTTGAGAGAAACCCTCTGGGCTCAATAATGTCCCCCCTTTCCCTCCCGAAAGTTCTCCATTGACCACCTAAGACATGTCCAGAGGACAAGAAGGGACAGCCAGCCTCACCCATGAGCTTTCCTGCTTTGGCAACGAATTGCTCCGCGAAGGCCATGTCCTCCATGCTGCCAGCAATGTAGTGAGCCGAGGCTGCGCCGAGCTTCTGGCAGTGGGATACCACCTGCAGGGCCACAAAGGAAATGGTGTCAGTCTTGGGTGCAGACTTTTCAGGAACTATCTCTGAGGTAATGGGGCCTTATAGGAGAGGTTACTCTTGACTTTGTTTTGATAAAAATGTGTGTGTGTGTGTGTGTGTGTGTGTGTGTGTGTGTGTGTGATTCTAAACACAGTGCTCATGATTGTCAGTCCTTGCCTGGGACACTGTAGTGGGATTCAAGTCCATAATTTACACTAATGGTGTTCTATGAACAATTGTTTTTAAATGTATTGTAGGTATGAAGAGCTGCTTTCTGTGTGGGTAGTTCTAGGTTTATCAGTGTTTGTGCACTTTGCTATCTGTGAGTGTATGAGCAGGCCTGGCCTGAGAGTCTGCACGGGGAGGAAAATACATGAGAAGGTGTTGTGAGTTTGTACAGAACACGTCAGGGTGTTTGTTGGTAATGTATGTCTGTGGGCATGGAACCCTCACCTCCTGTAGAGTTTCTTCTGACCTCGCTGTTAACACCACATGGGCTCCCATCTTCGCCAGATGAAAAGCCATCTCTCTTCCAATTCCTTTGCTGGCCCCTGTGACAATCACTTTCTTTCCTTGGAGCATTTCTGGGGAACCCCAAAAGGAAGTGAGGACCACAGCCAACCCGACAGCACCATTCCTTGTCCCTCAGCAGCCAGCCCTGTCTCCACTTCCAGTACCAACAGGGATGAGTCCAGCTCAGTTTGTCTCAGACTGCGCAGATCACCAAAGGAGCAGTTTGAGTCTTTCAGCAACAGGCTCTGAAGTGGAGGCATGGCCTGGTCATGCACAGCCAGGCCTCCCTGCTTGCATTCCTGCAAACCTCCATGCACAGAGACAACGGGACCAAGCCAGCAAGGTCACGGTTCAGCCGAAACACAGTTTCAAATAGTTCTGGACTCCTCTAATTTTGCTCAATTGATTAAAACACACACACACACACACACACACACACACACACACACACACACACACAAACACACACACACAGCTAGAATCTTAGGGACTCCAGGGGTTTCCCCTGGCTTCTCCTTAGTCATCAACTCCAGAGTCCACTTCTGCCTCCCACTTTCCAGGCTCCCATTGAGCCTAAGGATCTGGCTGAGTTGCGAATTTGGATATTACCCTCCGTTTGAGGTAGAAGATTTGAAATAGCATTCCACGAAAGGTGTCAAATACAGCCAAGACTTATTTGGCTAGCTTGTGGCTGCACCATGGTTACCCCTCCCCACATCCCTCCGGGACCGTAGCCTGAGACTGGAGGACACAGAGATATAACCCACCTCACTGTTCTCTCCTCTCTCTCTTTTTTTTCCAACAAATTTAGGAACACTGTAGCAAGCACCCTGGTGCTTTTTAACCTATGCCTCCAAAACAAGACACACAGAGGTGCTTACCTGGTCTGAATTCCTCATCTGTGGAATAGTAGTGGTAGGCCAAGAAGAGCCCCAGAAGAGGGAGGAGATATTTTTTCATAAAAGCCATCAGACAGGGACCTGGCCCGAAGAGCCCTGTAGGACACACAGAGAGAATCTACAGAGCTTTCCTACAACCTCCTAGGCAGGCAGCAGCCTCTGAATTGTGACATCAGGGACGGGGGAGGCTGGAGTAGTCTCAGGCAGTGCTAGCCAATTTCCCCGTCAGAGCAGCGATTGGCTTTGGGTGGGATCCCATTCGTCCCTGGCAGCCTGTGTGGTGGATTTCATAATGGACAATGTTTACTCCATTTCATTGAGCAAGAGGAGACTTCCAGATGGCCAAGCTCATGACTGTACAGGACTGGATTCCTGAGAATCCCGAGCCCAGGCCCATCTCCCTCTTGACACCCTTTACGCCAGGATCAATGGCCTTTCAGAAGTAGTTTGTCCAAGGCAGGGAGCGAGGATTGCATGTGCGGCTTCTGGGGGGAAATGTGAGTAATAGCGAAGAGAGCCAAACTGAAGCCAAATCTCACTCTCGGCCCCACCCCCAGTCGGAAGCAATTAAAAATAACAGCACAAAACAGCAAAATAAGCTCAAGGGAAAAGAAAAAAGTTCACATCTTGGAAAAAAAAATAAATCAAAGCAAACCAGCCTTAGGAGTCCCACACTCAAGTTCAATGAAAAACTATTGCAATATCAAAGAGAAATTGCAAGCCAGCCAGAACCCAGATGGCGGGAAAACCAAGACTGGTTCAAGACTCTCGGGCAAGTACAACAGAACGTATATACCCTTATTAATTTAACAGAGAATAAAGAAGAAATAACGAGTGCCCCAAAAAGGCACAAAGCCACTACACTGGCCTGGCAAATGGTGTAGAGGCATACGAAACATACAGAAGATGCTAGGAAGAGATCTGGCACGAAAGAAAAACTGTGAAGCAAAACTACTGTGGGGCACCCACATCTTCTCTAAAAATAGACCTAGTAATAATAAAGGGGGCGGGGAGGAGCTCCTAGCAAAGTAGAATTTGTTATCTCAGAAATAGATACAACCACCTTGGCACAGCCAACCACAGCAAGAAATCATTAAGGACCAATCCTCCAAAGAGAGGATTTAAGATGATTTAGCCAGTGATTAAGTTTTTCAGTGCAAAACTAAGCAACCAAATTCTGAAAGCTACCCCATTCCAGAACAAATCCTGAATCCTGCCAGTTGCCACTGAATCGGGGGACAATCTAAGGATGCTAATAAGTATGTCAGCATTTTGGAGGAGGGTCTGGGGTTGGAGAGAGGGGGCTGGCACTGGAATTTCTACAAGGTTAAGAGAAACTGAGTCTGGATATCCGTGAACAGTGTTTGGAAACATTTGGTGAGTCTTCACTTCAGAGAAAGAAAACATAATTTAAGACCCAGAGGAGATGAAACATTTTGTCAACAAAGGCCCACAGCTGGGGAGTTCACTTGCAGAAAATGATGAGGATTTGAGTACAGTTAAGGGCTGGATTGAGCTCAAGGTTCATGGAGGACAAAAATAGCAAAAGATAAAATCGAAGTGAAAATTGAATTTCATAGTGTCAGAAATACAAGGCATTTTGGCATGATTTTCATAAAGGACTTTCTGCTACCAAGATTCATTACAGACTAGACTCTATTTTCATCCCTTGAGGGTAAAAGTATAAGGTTTATTTTCATAATACTGTACTATCAACACTAAAATTACGGGAAGCCATGGAAAGCTGTTTTAAAATATGATGCTGAAATTATGGAAAGATGGACAGGCTCGGGTAGTTTACTGTCTGACAGAAAGGAAAGAACTTAAAAACCCACTACAGAAAACAAAAATCTAAACAAAGCGAAAATAACAACGCTGTCAGAGAAGCTGTAGGGGAACTGGACATGAAACAAATGTAATCATGACTGCTTATGGTTGAGTCACCTAAAAACCCAGCCCAGCTTCCATCACACTGCCTCCAAAAACATCCCTAAATCCAAAGACACAAAGTGGCTATCATGCTGGAAAACAAGGTATGGGAAAAAGCACCCAAGAGAGTGATTTTCATGGAATTGGATGACAACATTGTTATGTAAAAGCCGTTGAAGAGAAACAGAACATCGCGTAATGGTGGATGGAGGAAATGAATTAGTGGTGCTCAAACCTTCTGGTCTAGGGGCCTTTTTGCATCCTTAAAAATCACCTAAACCCCAATCAATTTGCATCTGTACATCTTATGTTATGGTTATTATGTTGCTAAGTAGAAAATAGAAGCTAGGACAAGGTGTTTTTAAACTCAGGAGTACAGAAGTATGGAGTCCACTGGCAGTCGGGGATGTATGATCAAATGTGTTGTAGCCTCTGGGGAAGTCAAATGTCTTCATATGATTATGAAAATATCTTTGACCTCCCAAATACCCGGAAGGGTCTTGGGGCCCCTGGGGACCAGTCTTTGACTGTATTATGTAATAGATACAAAAGCCACTGTATTTATACGGCTGGTCCTCTCATTAGTTTGTAAGCTCCTAGAGAACACGGATTATGTCTTTTTCATCTTTGCCTTTCCCCATTTCCCACTAGCCTTGCTCCAAAAATGGCTATTCAATCAACTCGGGCTGTTTTAGTGTTTCTGAGATGCTGCTGCAGCAATGGGAAAATTGCTGTCATCCTGGAGCCGAATTCAATCCAGGAAAAGCACTGGAATTCAGCATTCTGATCTGAACAGATCTACTCCATCCCTTAAGTCCTCTTCCTGGTTTCCTCAACACATTAATAAATCAGCAGATAAATAAAAAGAAACAAAAAGACATGCAAGTGTTTCACCTCTTATTTGTTGTGTGTGCAGTTTTCTCCATCCAGTGACATCCCTTTGCCCTTGCCCTTGGCAAGAATACCAAGTTATGTGCCCTGCTCCTCTTCTGTAATGGCACAGACCCTCTACAGTCGGGATCTTAGACACGACTTGGCTATTTCCAAGGACGCACGCAGAGTGGGCTTGCCACAACCCAGGAATGTTTACCAGAGTCCCAGCCAGGAATTCCCCTTTCCCCTATTTCATCTTTTCTGCCTGGGTAAATGGGGCTCAGAGCAGGTGACAAAGAGGAGGGCTTGGGGAGCCCTGAGGCAGATCTAAATGGCTGGTAGGAGTTGACCAGCCGGGATGAGGAGGTGCTGGGGGGGACACTGTGGTGCATTTGGTGTAACACAGAGATCTCGAGATGAACACCTCCCTTTCCATGGCAGCTTCCCCTGTTTATTCAGGTGCTCAGAAAGCAGCCTCTTTTGAAAATGAACCATGTGGGCAGGGGCCGCAGTGGGCAGACTCCAGGGGAAAGGAATGAGTGAACACCCAGTGTTCAGAGGTGCTGCCTTCCTGGGAGAAGTGTTGACGCCAGAAAGAACCTTAGCATTACATTAGAATACAGAACATTCTCCCTCACCTGACACCTGCCCCCCCACCTCCTTACTTCCCCTCTCCATCTGCGCCCCTCTCCACTCCCGCCCTTGGGATCTGATGCAGGGCGGAGGGAGATGAGGGACTTGTGGGGAAGAGAGGCAGGACTCCTATCTGCGTCTCAACTGCCAAGATGGACTCTTTGGTCCAGTTGCTGCAGAAGCAGCCATTGTCTCATATCATTTTTAACAAATCACCAACTCCATCCACCTCATCTTTTTCCTCCTCCTCCCCTGTATACCTAGAGGCAGGAGGAGATGTTCCCATTTGTCCGTTTTTCTGCCAATGTCACTGGACAGATTTACTCAGCCCTGTGAAGCCTTGCTGGAGGTGGACACCTGGGAGGTTGGTGAGGTACACTGTCCCCCTGTGCTGTCCTGTCCCAATCTGGCAGGTGTGGTCAGGGTTCAGGGCACTGGGGAGGCAGCCTCCTGGGAATCCATGTGCCTGGGCGAGTTTAGGACTTTTTGGTCTAATCCCTGCCCTCAGACAATGTTAGACAAGTTAGAGTTACAGTTTCCTTGGATTGTTTGGCTGATCCAGCTCCCATGCACTCCCATCTGAGCCCAGAGGAGAGAAGGACACACAGTAATTAAATGGAATGTTTGGTGAAGTACGAAGGAGCTGCCATGGGAGAGACCACAATCAATCAACCAATCAATCATTCAATCAATCTCTCTCTCTCTTGAAAATCCAAATTAAGATGCAGAGGACTGACTCCAGCATGGGAACCCCACCATTCTGCCCCATCCACTGCTTTTTCTTGATTGGCCAGTCTGACATTTAAGGTGGACGGCAGTCTGGGATAGACGTGGGTGGTGGTGGGGTGTCCATAAGGTGCCAGCCACTGCAGCAGTAGAAGGAAGTCACTTTCCTGTAAGGTTGCCAGACTTAGCAAACAGAAATATAGGATGCGCAGGTAAATTTGAATTTCAAGTAAACAGCAAATGCTTTAATTAAAAAAAAGGGCTTTACTTTTTTATTTTAAAGGTTTATTTATTTGGGGAAAGGGAGCTCTTTCACCCTACTCCTTCATTCCCCAAATATGATCCATAGCCAGGTCTGGCGTCAGCAGAAGCCAGGAGCCTGGAACTCTATGTAGGTCTTTGGTGTGGGTCCAGGGGCTCAAGGCCTTGGGCCAGCACCCACTTCCTTCCCAGGCATGGGGGATGGATCAGAAGCAGAGCTGCTGGGATCGGTAAGGGATGCCACAAGCTGTGAGCTCAGCCCCCTGTGCCATAATACTGGCCCCCAAAATGCTTTTCTAAGGATTGCTGAATCTATCTAGTTAGCTATCACCTGTTTGTCTATGTCTCCCTACACTCATCTGTCCCTCTGTCTCAACAATTGCAAAGAGCACGCCTAGACTAAACCGTTAATCGTTGTTTATCTGGAATTCAGATTTCACTGGCTGTCCTGTTTTATTTGATAACCTTAAAGGAGCTGTAAGGCTTTGAGAACACTGAGAAATTGTGCTTTGGGTGTGGATTAAACCTCCTGGGCCCTGGCTACTGTTCACGCTCGTGTCTCCGTTCACCACAATGCCGCCCAGCAGCCTGACCACAGACAGTTCCCTAGAGAGAAAAAAGTTGCAAAAGCACGTGGCAGCCGAGTGGAGGATTCATCTCCCAGATGTTATTTA